ATTTCATAGAGTAAGTGAGGTGGTAGTTGGTGCATGCATGCATGATAAGTGTCACTCTTGCAGTGTAGGCGCAGGCTAGGTGGCCGCCTTGGAGAAGGCATCTCTGCATGCATGTAACACGATTGGACATGAAGGGAGGCGCCATTGGACTTGGCGAAAGATTACAAAAATGAAAGGTGTCACCATCCCCATTGGCGAATAAGAGGTGGCATGGGTTGCAGAGTAGGCGCAGGCTAGGTGACAACCTTGGAGAAGGCATGCCTGAATGCATGTAACACTATTGGAGGTGATGAGAGGAGACTTACAGGTTACAGTGTAAGTGCAGAGTAGGCGCTGGCTAGGTGACAGCCTTGGAGAAGGCATCCCTGAATGCATGTAACACTATTGGAGGTGAAGGGAGGCGCTATTGGGCTTGGCGAAAGAGTATAAAAATGAAAGGTGTCGCCATCCCCATTGGCGAAAAGAGGTGGCATGGGTTGCAGAGTAGGTGCAGGCTAGGTGACAGCCTTGGAGAAGGCATGCCTGAATGCATGTAACACTATTGGAGGTGATGGGAGGAGACTTATAGGTTATAGTATAGGTGCAGAGTAGGCGCATGCTAGGTGGAAGCCTTGGAGAAGGCATCCCTGAATGCATGTAACACTATTAGAGGTGAAGGGAGGTGCTATTGGACTTGGCAAAATAGTACAAAAATGAAAGGTGTCGCCATACCTATTGGCAACTAAGAGGTGTCATGGTTTGCGGAGTAGGCGCAGGCTAGGTGACAGCCTTGGTAACACTATTGGACGTGATGGGAGGAGCCTTAGAGATTACAACCTTAGTTAATTCAAATTCAGTATGACCTATTTAGTCTTACATTTATCAAAACACTGATTCACTTAATCTCTCAAACCTTCCAACCTTCAAACCTTCAAACAATCAAACCTTCAAACCTTCGAATAACTCATAAACTTCAAACCTTCCAACCTTCAAACCTTCAAACAATCATACGCAATGGCCTCTGCACCCCAATATGTCATCAATGCATATTTCAACGATGAGACATACATTTTTCCCACCTCTGAGTTTTTGTTTAGAGACACAGACAACATCCGATTTCATTTAAACGAGAAAGCCAATTTCTTGTACTTCAAAAAACGATTGGAGGCCAAACTTAGACGAGGCCCGGTGACACAAATATTTTATCAGAATCTAGTTTTTTTGGGTAACAACCAAATAATATTTTATAAGGTTGAGGTTCAAGATGACGAGGATCTTCAGAATATGTTTTCCAGTCATATGTATTCCGGGTACGACTCTATTGAGTTGTACATTATGCTGCGAGAGCCTCAGGTGACACAAGTGGTTGATCCTTTGGAGACCGAACAAGCAGAGGTAGATGCAGTTGATGAAGAAGAAGAAGATGACGAGTTAGAGTTTGACGAAATGGTGAATGATGATTCTGAAGACGATGAGATACCTGGTATTCCTGCAAACGAGATCTACACACCACCTCCGCACATGACAAACTTCAACATGGGCGGAGATGAACCGTCTTCTGATTTATTTTTCAATCCGTATATGCAGTCGGATGAAAACTTAAAAGAGAAAGACAAGTTTCGTAACAGAGAAGAATGTATCAGAGCCATAAAAAAATTCCACATGCTCAACTCGGTCGATTTTAAGGTGGACCGTGTAAACCCAGAAAGGTACAAGGTCAAGTGTGTCCACCCTGATTGTATGTTCAAGCTCACTGCATCATACAGATTAAGAGGTGATTGCTGGGTCATAGGTTCCATGTCTACCCACACCTGTGTCAGTTCTACTCAATCACAGGACCATCGAAAACTTAATTACGATCTCATTTGTCAAGAAATCCTACCACTCGTCAACAACGATCCATCTTTGAAGGTGAAAACCATCATCTCTCACATCACTACGGTTTTTAACTATACTCCGTCTTACCGTAAGGCATGGTTAGCAAAGACCAAGGCGATTGAAAAGGTGTACGGAAACTGGGAGGAGTCATACCAAGAACTTCCTCGCTACCTGAATGTACTCCAGACTTATTCTCCGGGTACTGTTTACATTCTGGAAACAGTGCCAACATACGCCCAAGATGGTAGTCAACTAAACGGAAATGGAATATTCAGTCGAGTGTTTTGGGCATTTCAACCTTGCATCACAGGGTTTGCATCATGCAAACCAATTATACAAATTGATGGGACTTGGTTGTATGAGAAATACAAAGGCACGCTACTGATGGCAGTTGCACAAGATGACAACAACAACATTTTCCCAATTGCCTTTACCCTAGTCGAGGGGGAGACGGGTGGTGCTTGTAGCTTTTTTCTGAAAAACCTGCGAACACACGTGGCTCCTCAACCAGATCTCTGTTTGATCTCGGATAGACATGCATCCATTGAAAGTGCATATAATAATCCTGCAAACGGTTGGCATGACCCTCCTTCTACGCATGTCTATTGCGTTAGACATATCATCCAAAATTTCACGAGGGAGATCAAGGACAAAACACTAAGGAAAGCGGTTATGAATGCGGGATATGCATTGACACAACCCACATTCAAATATTACCGCAACGAGATCCGTTTGTCAAATCCGGAAGCCGGTAAGTGGATCGATAATATTCCGGTCGAAAAATGGACTAGGTCATATGACAATGGCCAAAGATGGGGGGACATGACAACAAATCTAATTGAATCGATGAATGGGGTATTCAAAGGCATACGAAACCTCCCGGTCACTGCTTTGGTAAAATCTACGTATTTTAGGATGGCTTCGTTGTTTGCCAAAAGAGGTGAAATGTGGAATGCAGTGTTGCAATCTGGACAACTATGGAGTGAAAGCTGTATGAAGTACATTAAGGCAGAAAGTGCCAAAGCCAACACCCATATGGTTATACGGTTTGACCGACACAGCCACAACTTCATTGTGAAAGAGACAATCGACCACAACAAGGGCCTGCCAAGACAAGAATATAGGGTTGTACTACCTTCTCGTTGGTGCGATTGTGGCAAGTTTCAAGTCTTTCGTATGCCTTGCTCTCATGTCATTGCCGCGTGTGCTTATACCCATCAAGACGCGCTACAACTTCTGTCACACATTTAGAAATTTGAAACGTTGCTCAACGTTTACAACAACAGCTTCCCTTTGGTAGCAAAACCAGATTATTGGCCTGCATATGACGGTGAAATAGTATGACACAATGACCAAATGCGAAGGAACAAAAAGGGTCATCCCAAAAGTAAGAGCATCACAACCGAAATGGACTCCCTTGACAAGCTGGAAAGAAAGTGTGGTTTATACAGTCAGGTCGGACACAATCGCAAAAATTGTCTGAATCGGGCGTCTGCCTCGACCACATAAAAATTGTATTACATAAAATCTTTCCTTAATTATGTTGTAAACATTAGGGTTTTTCATTAACAATATTTGCTACAATAAACATTGCGCGTACAAGAAAAAAAACACGATATTCCGTCTACGAAGTTACAACTGTTAAAACAATATCATCTGACTCATGCATCATCAACATTACGTCGCTGTCTGTTTTGACTTTCTCCAACCAAATATTAGGTCTTCCTGTCGCATGTGAGGTTGTTGTTCGTCTTTGCTGGATACTTCGAATTTTCCCCCCCTCCACGATGTCTCCATCTAGCCATCGCAACAACTCCCACTTCAGATGCTCCATGGAGTGAATGTGCCAGAATTTTATTTTCATCGCAGGTTTTGTGGCGGAGAAGATAACGTAACCATCTCTGGTAAAAATCATGGGCGATGTCATGACGCAAATAACAAAGTAAAAAAAATAAGAAAACAGTGCGAGAAAGTGTGAGAAATGACGGAGAAACGGACGAATCATTTATAAAAAAACATTTTGCCCTAGGAGCCAAGTGAGATGGCGCCTCCTCTCACTTTTAATGTGCATGCGCCATCTCACTTGGCTAAAAGAGAGAGGAGGTGCCAAGTGAGATGGCGCCTAGGGAAAAAAGCTTGGTGGAGGCACCAAGTGAGATGGCTTCTCCTTTAGAGAGTTATCTGAAACATGATTATTTACGTAATTTTTTCTGAAACATGATTATTTGCGATTTTTTTTAATTCCTGATTATTCAAAAAAATTTCCTAAATTGTTAGTATTTTAAAATAGCAATGATACTTTTCAAAATTTTTTTTTACAGAGGACAAATTGAAAATCGCTATATGAGAGAAGATAAAATGATAATAATTTAATTTAAAACAATTAAAAATTAAAAAAAAAAAACCATATCAAGATTAACTAATCTTTTCAAAAATTTATATTCAAAACTCTGCCGTACAATTGTGTTTTTGCTCAGTCATATTCTTATAATAATGGTAAAATTGAAATTTGAATTTTTTTGAGAGATAAATCGAAGTTGCTTTTAGGCATTGGCAAAAATGGTAATAATCTATTATTTTATAGATGTGAACGGTATTATTTTAATTAATTTTAATATATCCTTGCAATCTGTAATATATAGATGTGAACGGTATTATTTTAATTAATTTTAATTAAATACTATATTTATTCTACACTTTTATTAAATTTGAAACTTATTTTCACTAAAAATAAAAAATTTCACATTCATAGTATTTTAAAGCTCCGTCTTAAATTGAATTTTTTTGGGTCTTTAAAAACAAATCAATACTTTATTAATATATTAAGTAAATTTTATTTTTTTAAAAGAGTTATTTTGAATAAAATATTGATAATTTATTGCTATTAATTTATTCAAATATATAATAAATACTTCCATTTTATATATCTTTACCAGAAAAAAAAACTTATATATATAAAACGATAAACTTATTGTCATTTAATAAATTTAATAGTAAAATTAATCTTTTTAATTGTGATGATTTCTTTATTTAAAAGATTCTAAGAAATTTAAAATCAGCAGCTATAAAATATCCACAACCAACACTGATTTTATATATTATAGAAACACATTGTATTTCAGTCAAAAAGAAATTTGTCAGATATGAAACTTCATAGCTTCGCCATTTTTGCTCTTCTTTTTCTATCTTTATCAGTATTTTGTGAAGGTATTACCGGTGGATGGAACCCAATCGAAAACATCAAAGATCCACATGTGTTGGAGATAGCTCAATTTGCAGTTACAGAGCAACAAAAACAATCTAGTGTTAAATTAAGTTTGGTGGAAGTAATTAACGGTGAGACTCAAATTGTTGCAGGAGTAAACTATCGTCTTGTTTTGACGGCAAACGATGGATCTGTTACCAAGAAATATCAAGCTCAAGTTGTTGAGCAACCTACCAATACCAAAATCCTCACTTCCTTTACAACTCTTCCTTGATCATCAATGTTTAATATAAATCCTAATGATTGATTATTTATAATATTAATGTTATTTTGATTTATCAAGATAAAGTTATATCTGTTTTGAAATAAATGCATGTAGTTCAAATTCAAAGATTAAAAAAATAATGTTGAACAAATATGTTGTTACAAGTTTACTTTTTTCTTTTATGTCTTATGAATTTCAATGATTTAATTAATAAAAAATTTAATTCAACTTTTTATGCTAAAAAAAAGTTATTCAATCAAATTAACAGAAATATTGAAATAGTCTTGGAAAAAAATTAAAATATCCATGTTTTTAAATCTCATCTTTAACATTAACCAAATTAATTAAATTAGCGAGAAATTTATTAAATGAGTGCTAATATTGAATTGTGATCATTTTATTGAGTACTGCATACATATTTAATACTCTCACAATAGCGAGTAATAAGCCGCTTGCACATAAGCGCATAACAAGCCACATGCATATATGGATACTCTGGCTGTCCCGAAGTTGATCGTCGGGTCGGGTTGTGCCTGAGCCTCACCATCCCAACTCTATCATTTTCCCTATTAGTTCAATTGAAGGGGTACATAATGCTTCTCCATGATTGCATGAAAGAGTTCAATTTTCCACTCCTCCTCCTTTAACTAAAAGAAGAGAAACCACTCTTCTTAGCCTTGAATCCAAGCCGAAGGAATCTTCGAGAAAAGGGGAAATTGTTGAAACACTTTTTATAGAGTAAGTAATTGTTTTATCGTCTCCACATGAACCGGACCATACATACACCTTGGGGCTGAGTTTTTGGTAACTAGATTGCTTTACAAAATAAAATTGCCATTGGGCCTGGAGCGACAAGCTTAGCACCAATTTACTCCGGCACACCCCTGAACCCAAAATATGCACTTGCTGTAGCATTCTTTTGTATTTTTCTCTCTCTTAAACTTCTTGTTTATATTTTTGTACAATTAATTTTTGTATGATATCGTTGAATACAACAAACTTGGTTGAGAATTTTAAGAGGTTTCAAAGTAAATTAAGAGCCTAATCTACATCAAGGAAATCCTAGGAAATTTTTGGTATAGTTTTTCTTATTTCTCATGCGCATTGAAGAGGCGATATACCTTCTCCGTTAGATGCTGCTTGAATCCCTTTAATTTCTAATTATTTAAAGTCCTACCTCAAAATAAGCAATGTTTGATTTAAAGTCCTACCTTGAAGTAGACAGTTTTTTATTTGAAGTCCTACCTCGAAGTAGGAAATTTTTTATTTAAAGTCAGATTTTTTTTATTAATAACCATGTATTAAAATAATATTTCGCAAATAACCGGGTTTCGGAAAAAATTACGCAAATAACCATGTTTCAGATGACTCCCCAAAGGAGGAGCCATCTCACTTGGCGCCTCCACCTAGGGTTTTGCCCTAGGCGCCATCTCACTTGGCGCCTCCCTTGGCTTTTAGCCAAGTGAGATGGCGCATGCTCCTTAAAAATGAGAGGAGGCGCCATCTCACTTGGCTCCTAGGGCAAAACTAGGGCAAAATGCTGTTTTATAAATAATTCCTCCGTTTATCCGAAATTTCTCACACTTTCTCGCACTGTATTTTTATTTTGTACTCTGTTATTTGCGTCATGACGTCGCCTATGATTTTTAGCAGAGATGGTTACGTTATCTTCTCCGCCACGAAACCTGCGATGAAAATGAAATTCTGGCACATTCACTCCATGGAGCGTCTGAAGCGGGAGTTGATGCGGTGGCTAGATGGAGACATTATGGAGGGGGAAAAAATTCGAAGGATCCAGCGAAAACGAACAACAACCTCACATGCGACAGGAAGACCTAATGTGTGGTTGGAGGAAGTCAAAACAGATAGTGATGTAATGTTGATGATGCATGGGTCAGATGAAATTGTGTTAACAGTTGTAATTTCCCAGATGGAATATCGTTAATTATTGTTGTACGCGTTTTATTAATTGTAGCAAAATATGTTAACGGAAAACCCAAATGTTTACAACACAATTATGAAAAGATTTTATGTATTACAATATTTATGTGGTCGAGCCAGACGCCTGATTCAGACAGTTTTTGCGATTGTGTCCGTCCTGACGGCATAAACCACACTTTCTTTCCAACCTGTCAAGATCGTCCATTTCTGTTGTGATGCGCCTACTTTTGGGATGACCCTTCTTGTTCCTTCGCATTTGGTCATTGTGCCACACTATTTCGCCGTCGTATTGAGGCCAATAATCTGGTTTTTCTACCAAAGGAAAGTTGTTGTTGTAAACATTGAGCAACGTTTCAGATTTGTAAACGTTTGACAGAAGTTGAAGCGCGTCTTGATGGGTATGAGCACAAGCGACAATGACATGAGATCAAGGCATACAAAATGCTCGAAACCTGCCACAATCGCACCATTGAGAAGGTAAAATGACTCTGTATTCTTGTCTTGGCAGGCCTTCATTGTGGTCGATTGTCTCTTTCACAATGAAGTTGTGGCTGTGTCGGTCAAACCGTATAACCATGTGAGTGTTGGCTTTAGCACTTTCAGACTTAATGTATTTCATGCAGCTTTCACTCCATTGTTGTCCAGATTGCAACACCGCATTCCACATTTCACCTCTTTTTGCAAATAACGCAGCCATCCAAAATACGTAGATTTTACCAAGGCAGTAATTGGGAGGTTTTGTATGCCCTTGAATACCCCATTCATTGATTCAATAAGATTTGTTGTCATATGCCCCCATCTTTGGCCATTGTCGTATGACCTAGTCCATTTTTCCACCGGAATATTGTCGATCCACCTACCGGCTTCCGGATTAGACAAACGGATCTCGTTGCGGTAATATTTGAATGTGGGTTGTGTCAATGCATATCCCGCATTCATAACCGCTTTCCTCAATGTTTTGTCCTTGACCTCCCTCGAGAAATTCTAGACGATATGCCTAACGCAATAGACATGCGTAGAAGGAGGGTCATGCCAACCATTTGCTGGATTATTGTAGGCACTTTCAATGGAGGCATGTCTGTCCGAGATCAAACAGAGATCTGGTTGAGGAGCCACGTGTGTCCGAAGATTTTTCAGGAAAAAGCTCCAAGCACCACCGGTCTCCCCCTCGACAAGGGCAAAGGCAATGGGGAAAATGTTGTTGTTGCCATCTTAGGCAACTTCCATCAATAGCGTGCCTTTGTACTTCCCATACAACCAAGTCCCATCAATTTGTAAAATTGGTTTGCATGATGCAAACCCTGTGATGCATTGTTGAAATGCCCAAAACACGCGACTGAATATTCCGTTGCCATGCAGTAGACTACCATCTTGGGCGTACGCTGACAATGTTTCCAGAACGTAAACACTACCTGGAGAATACGTCTTGAGTGCATTCAGGCAGCGGGGAAGTTCTCGGTATGACTCCTCCCAGTTTCCGTACACCCTTTCAATCGCCTTAGTCTTTGCTAACCATGCCTTACGGTAAGACGAAGTGTAGTTAAAAACCGTGGTGATGTGGGAGATGATTGTTTTCACCTTCAAAGATGGGTCGTTGCTGACCAGGGGTAGGATTTCTTGACAGATTAGATCATAGTTGAGTTTTCGGTGGTCCTGTGATTGAGTGGAACTTACACAAGTGTGGGTAGTCATGGAACCTATGACCCAGCAGTCACCCCTTAATCTGTATGATGCGGTCAGCTTGAACATACAGTCAGGGTGGACACACTTGATCTTGTACCTTTCCGGGTTGACACGATCCACCTTAAAATCAACCGAGTTGAGCATGTGAAATTTTTTAATGGCCCTGATGCATTCCTCTCTGTTACGAAACTTGTCCTTCTCTTTTAAATTTTCATCCGACTGCATATACGGATTGAAAAATAAGTCAGTAGAAGGTTCATCTCCGCCCATGTTGAAGTTTGTCATGTGCGGAGGTGGTGTGTAGATTTTGTCTGTAGGAATACTAGGGATGCCATCATCGTCGGAATCATCGTTCACCATTTCATCAAACTCTAACTCGTTATCTTCTTCTTCATCATCAACTGCATCTACCTCATCTTGTTCATCCTCCAAAGGATCAACCTCCAGTGTCACCTGAGGCTCTTGAAGCAAAACGTATAACTCAATAGAGTCGTATCCAGAATAGACATGGCTGGAAATCATATTCTGGAGATCCTCGTCATCTTGAACTTCAACCTTATAAAAAATTACTTGGTTGTTTCCAAAGAAAACTGGATTCTAATAAAATATCTGGGACACCGGGCCTCGTTCAAGTTTGGCCTCCAATCTTTTTTTGAAGTACGAGAAATTGGCTTTCCCGTTTAAGAGAAATCGGATGTTCTCTGTGTCTCTAAACAAAAACCCAGCTGTGGGACAAATGTATGTCTCACCGTTGAAATGTGCTTTGACGACAAATTGTGGTGAAGAGGCCATTGCGTAGAATTGTTTTAAGGTTTGAAGGTTGGAATGTTTGAGGTTTATTGATTGTATGAAGGTTTGAATGCTGTAATGTTTGAAGGTTGGAATGTTTGAATTTTATGAGTGATTCGAAGGTTGGAATGTTTGATTGTTTGCAGGTTTGAAGGTTTGGTTGTAAGAACGTTTGAAGGTTGAAAGATTTGACAGATTATGTGAATCAATGTTATGATAAACGTAAGGCTAAAAATTTCAATTAAGTAAGGATGCAACCCCCCAAGGCTGCCAATAATATTACATGCAATAATGAAAGGAATCCTAAAGGCTGTCACGTAGCCTGAGCCTAGGCTGCAACAAAGGACACCTCTTATTCGCCAATTGGGGTGGCGACACCATTCATTTTTGTACTCTTTCGCCAAGTCCAATGGCGCCTCCCTTATTGTCCAATCGTGATACATGCATGGGCTTATGTAACCCCCTAGGCTGCCACCTAGTCTGCCCCTAGTCTGCACCTATACATGTATTTTGTAAGACTCCTCCCATCAACTCCAATGGGCTTACATGCAATAATGAAAGGAATCCTAAAGGCTGTCACGTAGCCTGAGCCTAGG